AGTCACCCAAACCCTTCAACACATGCACGACATTTTTATTAAAATTGTATTTTTGAGTTATAACTGTTTGCGCGCCAAAACACTCTCAGTGGTCTCAAAATCTAGCCAGGACTTGGCGCTACAATGGGTTTTCGATGTTAAATCTGTTTTTTGTGGGTGAAAATGATGGTTTTGAAAATTAGCAAGAACTTTTTCCATGAAAGCTGTGAGAAAACTGAACAAACGAAAATTAAGAAAGTCTGATTCTCTTAAGCTGTAGTGCCAAGTCTTAGCTTCATTTTGAGACCATCCCCGAGCTTTGTAGCACTCAGAATATCGATGAAACGTGGCGCATGATTGATCTTTATTTTAGGAAAACTCAACACTTTGAATTCATATATTTTGTGGTCTCCTTTTATGATACGACTGATTTTGATTGATTGATTTATCTTTTAGTAGCTACAAGTAGATGATAAATAGTGGAAAACGAAACACAAATACACACGTTTCGTGAACATAAACAAAATCCCACTACTCGGAAGGCAAATAATGTTCTAAGAACCTATAAATTTTACCACCTTATTTTAAAACAATTAAGGTCCAAGGTAGTTATTGAGCTTTGTTTTAAACGACTTTATTGGGGGTGATGTAACAACAGCTTCGGGAAGGGTTAAATTCCAGTCTCGGGCTGTTTGACAGATAATTGATTGTAGAAAGGTTTCTGTTCTAGCAAAGGGAATTTCTACTATTCTTGATTGATTAAGACAGCTTGACTTTCTAGATTGATCGTATTGAATAAGGTTTAGTCTAGACAAAGGCGAGAGGCCGTTAAGGATTTTGAAAAGATGTATAAGACGACAGTATTTTAGTCTTACTTGAAGTGGAGGCAGATTCAATCTTCTAACTAAATTTTGACCAGGAGTAGAAAACTTTCGAGTAACTATATGGATCACTAGATGTTAGACGGACTCAAGACGACACACCTGAACGGTGAAAGTGGTGTCATATAAGGCACAGGTATAGATTTGAAGACGGATATGAGCGGATGCTGGTTTAAACTGTCTGTACATAGCCGACAGAAGACGTTGCCGACAGAATCGTGCAAACTTTTCGATATTTCAGTTTCAAACGTATTTTTTCGAGTCCTAGTAAAATAAGGTTTTCCTCGCGCTTTATGTTAGAGCTATCTGGTAAGATAAATGTGAAATTATTTATCCTATCAAGGCTGTGGGAAACGAACATCCGCCAGCAGTCTGTTGTCACTTGCCCGTTCAGGCAAGGTTTGATCTCTAGAATCATCAGTCGTCTAATGGGCGGGAAGTGTTCATTCACTCCTGGTGAACTGATTCATCACCGTATGTTAAAGTTATGTGTTCAACCTACTTTCTCTTTTATGACAGACATGAATAGCAAACATAACTCAATTCTACGCAATTTATCTTGCCCGACTTGACAATATTGCTGATTCGGGTAAGGTATTTTGCCTGATCGGGAAATATTGTACGAACGGGCAAGTTTGCTCGATCAGGCAAGGCAATCCTGAGGCAGATATAGTTAGTCAGTTCTCTGGCCATACAAGAAAGCATCGTGTCATTCAAGGAAAACTCTATTTGATGCAGTTTGTGCCGCTCTACTCTCTAAAAAAGGGATTATTACGAAACTTAAAAGGGTATAGAGAAGTGCAACCATTTCTAAATCCTTTTAGGTTTCGTAGAAGACATGATGCAGTATGAACGAAACCATTTAAGTGCATAAATTCTAGCAGTTTTTTTCTGAGCATGTGAACTATTGCAGCAGCTTAGGCGTGTTTTCATTGTATAGGGCGGCGAAAACTGAGCTAAAGAAATACCTGAAACTTCTGTAATTTTTGAGTTTTCGAGAAAAAGTCATGAGGAAAAAACATAACGAAATAAGCAAATGCACTCACTGATCAATCGTTTCAATGCACTTCAAACGGTTTCGTACCGCACCATGTCTTCTACGCAATCTAAAAAGGTTTAGAAATGGTTGCACTTTTCTATACCCTTTTAAGTTTCGTAATAAACCTTTTTTAGAGAGTATCACGGGGAATAAGTGTCTACATGGGCTATAGCTTTGATTTATGCACTAATCCGTCGAAAGAGAAAAGTATGGAAATCTTGCCAAAACGGGTAAGATACTCCTTGTCCGATCGAACCATATTGCCTGTTCGGGCAATACATGTTGCCGAAACGGACCAGAAAGCATGACACGGATTGACCGGGGGTTGTAAGACACACATTTTATGAAAATTTTATCAAGATTGGGACCTTAATGAGGTTCTCAGCACTTCTTAGGCCTATTGAGATGAGATTGAACCAGTGCTTCGTGAAGAAGTTTTCAAATAAAAAGATCATAAGCAGGAAGTTGTATTATAATTAGTTATATTCCAGTTTGACCGCCGTCGCTGATTTTTCGACCGACGCATAGATCTAGGTGAGATAGGATCACAGTAAGTTTCAGCTCGAAATCTTGAAATTTCCTAGAGTAAATCTCGGCATTCTCACTGGGCTAACACAAAGTTAAAGTAGGCTTTTCATCGGATTTTGTTTTAAATTTGAGATCAGCCCGAACTACGTGGAACCTGAGATAGAGAGAACATCTTGTCTATAACAATACCGCTATACACGCTGCATTTATTCAAACCAAAGAGAATATATATCGATAAGGGTATATTTTGTAACCGGGTCGGGGTATAACGACTATTTTACGAACACATCTTACCGAAGAATTTAGTTAACTATTCAGAAAAGATAAACAACTGGTTCCTGAAATACTAGCAATGTCCGTTTACCTCTCGATCATCTCACTTTTTATACTATTAACATATGAGTGATTCTGGTGATTTTTGTACTGTTCGATTTAAGCTAATGGAAATGCATGGTTCTCCGTTAATACTGAATCGAACTTTTAGAAGCTATTTTATTCCGGACACTTTACCCTATATATACTGCTAAGATCTCTTTTCTATCTTATCTCCTTAGTGTACAGTAAGCAAAACACTTTGTTTTTGAGTTCTTTTCCCTTTCTTTTCTTAATGGTTCCTGCACGTTCTTTTTTCTTAATTAACATTTTTCTTTTCTTAAGGGGCAGTGGAAAAAAATCTTTTTTGCTTTTTGTGCAGTATTTTACCTGTTCTGTCAATCTGCAGTCTTAGTTTTGCCTAATCTCTTTTAGTTTCTGTGAAAACTTTGATGAAATTTCTGGTCCTCGAAAAGTTCAAAAATCGTGTCCCCCTTTTGAGTCTACTGCGCAGCCAATAAGCACTTTAAGTCAAATATTTTTCTATGAAAGGATTTACCAAAGTAGGCACTATAGATTGTTGAAAACCGCAAGTTGCTAGCTTTTTTCGTTTTTGAGTAATTGACATTTTACTGACGCCCAGTGGCTTGTGACATACAATTTGTCCCACCCCCTTTTGACTCTCTCCTGACCGAACTACATGGAATTGAGAACTCGTTTTTTTACCATATATGTCAAATGGGTAGCACAAGTTATACTGTAAATAGCAAGGCTTCAGCTTATTTCTAAAGGAAGAAATTTGAAAAATATATCAAAATGTCCCACCCCCAAACGTATCTCTAAACTTGTTTTGGCTAGTACATAAAGCCTCATATTATACGATTATAAGTATTTTGACACCCTGAATTGAATGGCCGGCTCGGTTTTCTGAAAACCAGCTCAGCAAAGGATTTCCAGAAGCTCAAGGTTAAAAATTGTCAAAAACCATTTTTTAAGGATGCCAGTTGATAGGGCAGATGTGAAAACCTATGTTTCAATACATTTTTAAACTCAGTTATGCCTTTTTAGCTGAAAAGCAGAGAAAATCGCATTTTCGATCCTGAGTCAAAAAGTGAACAACCAGGATTTTGGCTGAGAAGAACTTGGCAGTTTGGAAACAGAGTTTTTTCTAGACTTTCAAGTACCCTCTATAAATCTAGAGTGTTAAAATATTTTCTTGGACACTTTCGTTTTGGGTCATTTTTTTCTTTAAGAACGGTACAAAAATCACCAGAATCACTCATATATATGTTAATGCTGTGAAAAGTAAACAGATATATAGTAAAAAAATATCTTGTTCAAATATGTAGGATTGCGTTAGTAAAAGCTAGCGCATATATCTGAACAAAATTTCAACTATCTGGAATAAATATACTTGTAAATATTACTTCAGTACAAATAGATTATTTTTATTCTTCTTAATAGTTTTTATCCAATGATTATATTCCATACAACGAACGATCGACCATTTCTTTACTGAACAACGATACACAGCTAAATGCAGAGAAAAGGATGTCGTCAGAAAAGAGAAGTTTAAGTTGTTGTATTTGTGATGCAACAGCTATTGGAAAGAATTTTGGTCGATTAACATGTGAATCTTGTAAAGCATTTTTTAGAAGAAATGCACTGCAATATAATGTAAGTTGAACGCACATAACAAAGTTACGCTCAAATCTTATCAAATAAAAAGAAATTTATCTCTATTTTAGCCCAGTTCAAAGTGTCGTTTCGGTGGTGACTGTATAATAAATGTAAAAACCCGTAAACATTGTACACATTGTCGCCTGAAAAAGTGTTTCACCATGGAAATGAATGTAGATCGTATTCGAACAGAAGAAGATAAACAAAATAGAAGAGAATACTTAAAACGAAATAAATATCAAATCATACATAAAAGCCGAACGATAAGTCAAATTATTAATGAGAAATAAAAGTGGTTACGACAAGTTCTCTAAAAGAAAACCTAATTTAAAAATCAGTCTCTAGAATTCTTGAAAAGTATTTAGTAGAATACGAGAGAATATGGAAAATTTTAGAAAAGACTCTTTATAAAAGATTTTCATGTGTAATGAGCGTTTTCCATGGCCCTGGAAAATAAAACTTTTGTCCGGTCGATCGATTTTTACAAGACATGAAATCACAATTTGTTGTTCTTAAAAAACGGAAAGTGACTCTTTAAACCACATATTCTTTTGGAAGCGGAGAGAAATCAGGAAAAATTCATGCTAGAAAGGGAAGTGGAATAGCGAAGGAAAAAAACTAACTTTCTCACTTAATCAACCTCTTGGTATTGGATATGAAGTTATGCTCCTCACTCTAGATTCACACCATCAATCTTCTTGAAAATGATAATTCAACATTAACACAAGACAATCGGTGTCGATTGAATAATATCATTAAGTGTTACGAAAAAGAAACAAAACAAACCTTTTTGTTCGACCTCAATAAATTTGATTCGAACGCTCCCAATTATACACAAATAATAAATGATCAATGTTCAGCATATGTGGGACTTATTGCGTTTTTTAAAAATATACCGGAATTTTGTCAAATAAATATTCACGATCAAATTAAACTAATTAAATCAAATTTGCGAATATTTTCCCCTTTAAATTTTATGTTATTAACAAATTTTGCCGAAAATAGTCAAGCACACAACATATTATCTCGATTACATAGTATTGACTTTTATCATCAAATGAAAAATGTCAAACGGAAACTCGACATATTTGCTCAGGATCCTACAGTTCTTAAATTGTTACTAATCATATTAGTTCATACCATAAGTCTTTTGACATTAAATTCAACTGTTGAAGCGATCTCGGTGGAAACTGTTCAACATGCTCATAAAACTCAAATGTTTTATATTGAATTATTATGGAATTACATGCAGCATGCGTATGGAAAATTTCAAGCAATTCTTATTTACAGTTTGCTAATTTTTCAATGTTTAAATCTTCAGAGTATGATTGCAATGCGCGATGAACATATGCGACGATTGGTAAATATTAGTCACGTAACGCCACTGATGCAATCGATTCTGCAATTATCGTTTGAAAATGACATTTAATTAATTACAGAAAATAGCAATTTTAATAGAGAAAGTTCATCAACAGCTAATCTAGTCATCTCATACAAAAACTGAGGACAAGAAATGAAAAGAGAACGGAATTTGCATAGAATGGAGAACGGTTTGATAATTACGTCATTTTGTAATTAAAAGAGAACGGAATAAAAAAAATCGAAAAGAGGACGGTTTTCTCGTTGAAAAGAGAACGGTTTTGAATTGTGAAATAAAATAATTGAAAAGAGAACGGATTAATTAATTAATCAGTAACCAGGTTATTCTCGCCATATTCTTTAAGCCTCTCCCAATGATTGATAGAAA